GCCCAATTCTGATCTTGCTGTTTGTGCTCTCAAGGCTTCATAAAATGATTTCAGAGTTTCTCCTGTTTCTTGAGATCTGTTGAAAAGCTTATATCTTTCGTTCTAATTTCTATTTTAAAATGTAATTTGGAAATTTCCTCATTTGGTTTTTTTGTACGAATCTGTTTTTTCCGTCTGTTCCCAGTCCCAGAAATAACGTGGACACTAGACTTTTCCGAACTTTGTTATAATACACTCGGTGATGAACCTTTGGCCCTTTTTTTGTCTCCACATTCTCAAGCAAAACGTTGTCTCTCGCCAATCTATCTTTTGTTTCTCGTACTTTTTGTTCTCGCAACCGGCTCTTCTATGACTGTCTTTGCGTCTTCCTGCTTTTTTTTCTGGATTTACCTTTTCTTTCACCGCCACTGCCATGATAAACTTGTCGTACCAGATTTTGAAGTTTCATGGCGGTCTGAGGTCGCCGTAGTCCAAAATCGGAATCCCCATGTCAGTTTGGTTATCTTGAGACAAGAATTCTGCTGAATTAGTCATTTCATAAGTCAAGGATTTTCTATATACTCACTTAAAGTTAAACTAATGATAACTTCAAGTAGTAAGTTTAGACTGAACTCTTCGTCGTCTGTTATAATTTTCAGATCAACTGCTGAGGTCCATAGCTACGTATGGTAGAGTGAACTTGCAGTCTTTCGTTTTTAGATCGGCGCGAATGGCCTTGACAAAAATAAGTGACAATTTTATACATTGGTAACACCAAGGTTACTGCAGCTGCAGTACCACAGTGGTCAAAATGTTTGTAAAATTAGTGATGATCCAAAAAAATTTCGCCTAAAAAAAATTAAGAACGTGTTTTTTCCCAACAAAAAAAAGTTTTTCGTTGGTCGCAAACTACTTGTTTCTGGTTGGCTGAAAAAAAGGGTTTAGTTCCAGTAATCAAGTGAAAATTAACTTCCCTAAATCGGATCCTTGATACCTGGTGAACACCTCAAGTCAATTGTTTAGACAAACAGAGTTTCGGCACTCTATATTAATGGTGAAAAAAAGTATGTTGATATTCTGAATCCAGATTTTTCAAAAACTCCTGATTGGTTTATATGCAAAGGTTTAACAGATAGGGAAATCAAACCCAGCTAGTCTCAATTTAGTCTGATAACAAAGGAAATGGCTAGCATAAGTTATTATCAAACTAACAGGTTAACAATTTGCAGAGATCTGGGTGTTTTTCATGATAGGCCTATAACAAATCATATTTCTCTCATTTAAACAGTGCTTGCCAATGTTTATCGAAGCAAATGTCTACAAAATTTTCTCAAAAAAGCGTAATTGTAATAAATGAGAATGGTCGTGTCATAAAAGAATACGGGACCCATATTTTGCAATAGAAACAGGTGCATTTTACCATCTACCAATTGAAACTAATTTCAGTTTCAGTTTTCGCTCTCAAAATCAGAACTTACGTCGTTTTTGCTCAAATGGTAAGAATTACTACCAGGAGTTGCTCTAAAAGCAGTATAATGGAGAAGTGTTTTGGTAACCAATTCAAAGTACAGGCTGAGTTGGGCTATGATTTTTCCCTCTGAAAAAAGTCTGATAATTTTGTTGTATGAAAGTCTAATAAAATGATTGCTTTGTAATTAGTTGTAAAAGATTGTTGGCTTTGGTTTCTTTAAGGACTTTCCTTCATCTTTTCCTCCAGCCAAAAAATTCAAAAAATATAAAATTAATATTTTTCACACTTTTTTTCGAACTTAATTTTTTGTTTAAGTTTTTAAATCGTTTGCGAAGATGTTTGAGTAAAGATGCAAATACTAAGATCTTATTGTGCTACAGCAAATATTTATTTTGTATCATCAGCTTTTTTATTTGTTAAAGTTTTTTAATCTCTCAATGAAAAAGTTGCCTAGAGAAAGGAGGAAGCAGGCATAGTTACCTCCCAATTTTCACTCAATGGTGAGATTATACATGCTAATTCTTAACAAAATCCACTGCTAAAGGAAATTGTTTCTTTTACCAAGTAGCTCACAAATACCAACAACGCGTTCAGGTATTTTTTTAGTATTTGTTCAGGTTGGTTGTCATTTTTTTTATTTTTTACAAATGATGCAGCTTGCAACGGAAAATAATATAAGAAGAGAAAAACATCAGTCTACAAAAAAAAACATTCCAACTCTTTCGTTTCTTTGGTTTGAATTAATTTTGATACAAAAATTGTAATAAGATTGACAAGGATCAGCTGACAAGGCAACCGTTTAAATAGCAGTATTTTGCTGTTTTTATGTTTCGTTTACCTTTTAATGGAGTGCATCTTAAACTGACCGCAAAGTCAGTGTTTTAACTCTAGTGCCGTATTAATCAGATAACTTAAAAACCATTCCTTCTTTCTTACCGGAGGTTAAAATTTGTCTGCTTTTATTCTACCTAAACGCAGAGGTAATTTTTTTTGACTGGATTAAGAATTTCCCGTGCAATTTGCTTCTTTTATTCTGAATTCTCTAGGGAATCTTTTTCGTTCTGAATTTTTCTTTTTGTGATCTTGGACTGCGGTATTAGTTTTTGCTGGCCGTTTTATTTTAACCTACTGTTACAATTTCAACTGAATCTTCTTTTTTGATAAAAGATTCACTTAAAAACAACTCCACGTCTTTCATTCGACAATTGATATAAAAAAACGGGGTAGGGTAACGAGAGGGCGAGGGGGAAGAAGGGAGAGCAGAGGTTTTAATGGGTTTCAACGAGTTTTTCAATGCGTTTACTAACTTCGACTCACTTGTGCTGAATTTATATTTTGTCATCTTAAGAAACGTTTTGGAAGTCATTTTGATAATTAGGGGCGGATCTAGGTATTTCCCGAGGGGGGAGTGAAATTTCAAAAAAATTTCGAACAACTTGTCAACCCTTTTTTTAAGTCGATCAAATTGATTTTCCGAGCTCTGCTCTTTTCCACCCCACCTTTCAAAATATCGGGTTATATGTTTGTGTTTCGTAGAGTTCGTTCTCTGGTAGAGTTCGTTCCTTTTTCATGGTCTGAATAAAAAAACTACCCCGCGCATATATATTCCTTAACTTCTTCGAAAGTCGGAACAACAATATAAAAGATCAGTTGTAAAAATTTGAGTCATACGAGATTAATACGAACAATTAGCTAGCCTCGATTTAATTAACAATGATTTTTTTGAGCGGGATAATTCGCCACGCACGCATAAATACTTCGTGTTACGTTTACAGCATTATGAAAAAAAAACCTTAAAAGCGCGCAAAAATTAGTCCAGAGCATGACCAAATTCCCAATTTTCAATCTCCCATACCTAGCAAAAAAGGATCGGATGTAAAAATCTTCTACAGTTGATGTCAGGCAGTTGATATCTTCAATGAGGTACAAAGAAGATTGTTAAAAACTAATATTTCAATCACCAAAAAATGTCTGAATAAAGAAACAAACCAACTCAAACATAAATATCTCGTTTTCTTCGAAGTTTGGTAACAGTATGAAAAACTGGGGTCAAATCTCGAGAAAAGTATCGATCTTTCGGAAAGAGGCGTCAAATCTGAGATTTTAGAATACTAAAATACCCCAATAAAAAGTACGATTAAGAATTGATATTTATTTTACAATTATTCAAAATATTCTAAGCTGAACAAGACTGCTCGTACCAGGGGGAAGCCCTGAATAATCTGACTGCCTTATAAGATCTACGGAGCAGTAATAACTTGAAGAATATAATAGTAATCAACTACAACTGTGAATTTATGCATTTTTTGTGAAGATCATCTCCCACACATCATATTAAGTACAAAGTAATAGATTTTGCTCCTAGTAACAAATCAATTAGGGCAAACATGACTGCTCGTATCAGGACAATACCCTGATCGTTCTGACTGCTTTTTTAAGGTCTATGGAGCAGCAAAAACTTAAAAATTAAATGTAATAAAATTTGGAACGATTTCTTGGCGGATTAAATCTTCGCTTACTCATAAATAGCGCAAAATATATCGCGCGTTAATTTCTCAAATCAGCCAAAATGACAATCTTTAAAACCCCATAACTTTACGTAAAATAATCACAGATGAAACATCTTTTTAAAATTAAGCTCAGGACAACAATACTTTTTGAGTGATTTTTGAAAAAATTACGTCAAAAATAGCTATTTAAAAAGTCAAAACTTGTCTGAAGAAAAAAAAAAACAAGCACAAAGATTCCGTTTCTTTCGTTACGAAAGTCGGAACAACAATTATTTTGAAAGCTTCAATTGACCAAGTTAAAGCCCATGTGAACAATTTCCTCCCAAATAGATCAATTGAACTATCTCCATTCCAAAACTCGGGCAGTTGACTTTGTAGTTAAGAATATATTTTTTAAACTAAAATTGGTCGACAATGCTAAGAAAAAGCTTGCAATAAAAGTGTAAAAGTGTTACTAAGCTAAAAGAAATTTCTATTGATTCATTTATTCACAGTTTATCTTTTCGCTTCGCGCAAATTACTCGTTTTTGATTGATTGAAAAAAAGTTTTGTTCCAGTAACCAAGTGAACACTGCCACGGATCGGGGAATTCGTTTACTTGGTCCCAAGTTAACGACATCTCAAAATTGGGATGTTCACTTATTGTATCGCATTAAAATCATTTTATTGCGTGATGCACTCAAAACATGGAAGACTGACGCCAACAGTTTAACAGTTTACTCGGAAACCGCGCGGATTCCACGCTCTAAGGTGTATCCATGACTCCCCTGCCCCGCACGAAAAGTCCTCAGAAGTTCCCCTGGGTCTCAACATACCAATGTTAGTCCCACTGTTTAAAAATACTAAACTCTTATAGCTCCACGATCTGAAAATTTTAAATTTTGGTCACTATACTTTCTCGGCATAAAATCACAGCTGCGATAGGACAACACGGTGGCTAAAATATATATCTGTTTGAGTTCAATTCGGAGCGGTTGGTTTGAATCCATGCGGTTTATAGCGTTACATACAGGACTGTTTATAACGCATGGTTAGTAGTGACTAACATAGTTTGCGGCTAACACCATATTGTTGAGCAAGAATGTTTTAAGAACAGTAAATTTAAAGCTAAAGCTTCCACTGTTCTCTAAAGCGGAAACTTAATTATATACAGAGTATAGCCAAGAACTGAAGAAAAGTTATATTTACAAAAAGTCATCCCAGCTTGCACTGTTAACTTTAAATTGGAATTAGATTCAAATAGACCAACTCCAAAAAATTTCTAGGATTCTAGGATTTTCGTGAAGGGACAGATTTGCAAAAACGTTTCGAAAAGTTTGACGGCCTTTGTTTGTAGGTCTACCAAATTGATTTTCTGGGCTTACCCAAAACACTGCAAGAATCCTTTTAGATTAAAATTTTGTGCTAAAATTTTGAAAAAAAAAAACAGACCAAAAAAAACTTTTGAGCACTCCCCCTCTTTAAATCCGCTGCAGTTTTGTTTTGCTGTGTAAATTGCAAGTTATTCGTAATGATGCAAGTTATTCGATTTATGTAACTAATTTATGTAAATGATGCAAGTTACTCGTAAGTTAAGTGCCCTTTTTGATATTGAGATGAATTGAACCTCTTTTATCCGCTAGAAACTCTCAAACACTCTTTGCTAGATCGTGATTAGATTCCAGATCTTGGGCTTCATTTAATTTGCTCAGTTCAATTATCTTGCTTCCAAAACTACCAATGCCATTACTTAGTACCATATTTACTTAGTAGTTTTTATATGAAACAAACTGCATCAGCTCTTGACCATTACCATACAGAAACTATCTTATCTTCAATTCACACTATACCAAAATTTACGGTTTGTCTACAGAAATTCAACAGCATACATTTGTTTTATTTGATATTATGAAACATGATTCAGCTTGAGTTGTTGTCCAGCAACTATTTACCTAATCGCACTTAACTTTGGCCAGTTTAATTGCAGAAAAGTTATATTAAACAAAATTACTTTCATGATGAAATTTTTGTAGTGAAAAAAAAAGCACGGAAATGGCTGCTAGTTCACCAGCGAGGCAAATGGCCTCGTTATATTTGAAAAACATCGGCTTAATGACCAGTTTTTTCACAGTCTCTGAAGTCATCCAGCAGAAGTACGTGTTCAAAAAGGAGAAAGTGGACTATGGCGAAGTGTTCAGATTGGGAACAGCTATTGCTGTGTGGACCGCGCCTGTGAATTGTTTTTGGTACTTCTCGTTATTGAACAGAGTCGTGCCGGCGCTGAAAAACCCGATGACTACAGCCATGGTGAGAAAAATTGGACCAAGTTAACTTCCTCCCCCCCCCCCCCCATCCGTTAATCCGTTGGATGTTAACTTGGTTATGAGTTCCATTTTTCAGCCAATCAGAATAGAGAATTTTACACGCAGCCCTTATCAATCAATTTAATTTAAATATTCAACGCTGGGGGTGGAGGATCTTAACTTGTTCTGTTTAGGGGGGGGGGGGATGTTAACTTGAAAATTCGAAGTAATGCTAAAAAATACTTCCAAAAATTAAAAAAAACTTTTGATTGGGATATCAAATTGTTCTTTAAATTAAATACATGACAAAATGCTACAAAAAATCAACAATAAATAAAAAAACTCTTGATAAGCAAATCATGCTGTTCTTTAAACGAAAGCCATGGAAAAATTCATGTTGTTTTTTTAATACAAATAACGTTTTTCTAAGTAGCGCCGCAAAAATACTTTCGTAGCGCCGCAAAAATACTTTCGTGCAAAAATACCCGCCGTTTTTCTAAGTAGCGCCGCAAAAATAATTTCGTAGCGCCGCAAAAACACTTTCGTGCAAAAATACCCGCCGTTTTTCTAAGTAGCGCCGCAAAAATACTTTCGTAGCGCCGCAAAAATACTTTTGTGCTGCCGGTCTTTGTCAAAAATACTTTAAGCCGCGACCTCAAAACTTTTAGGTAGCACCGCCTCACATGTTTAAGTCGTGCCTTCATATGGCGCAAAGTCGGGGATTTTGAGATGAGAGGAATTTGCATTGCTCTTTTGACAGTTCTTCAATTGCAGTTTTGATAATTCGATTGCAGTTTTAACGGCATTTATCGGTCTCAAGGTCAGAGTTAATTCAAATTTTTTAAGAGTTGTCCAGTAAACTTGTTAAAAGCTATAGCACCAACGTCACCAACGTATTGCAAGCTTGCTAACGGACAGTAGGGTTCTAGACAAAAACAAGAGTCAGTTATCGCCACGAAATGACGATGGGAGCTGAGAGTACCCAGTGGTCTAGTGTCTCCCTGCTTAGACAAGCGGCTTAGTAATTGTTGAAAAATTGATTAGTTGTAGTTATTAAGGCTACAAACTTCTCAATTTAATATAAATGGGACTATTATTTCTTTTTACAACTCATGATATCTACCGGCGGCTGTGTGAAAACAAAAACGCTGGTTAGGGGTTGCGTCCCTCATGCTTGAAGGACCGAATGCTTGAAATTTATTTTAGCTTACTTTCAGCCAATCAGGATTGAGTATTAAAATCTCGAAGCAAATCGTGAAAATCTCAAAGTTAAAAAATAAATCCAGACCATTAGTGTTAATACTGACCGATTAGATAATAAGCAGATAAATTTTCAAGACTGAAACATTCGTATAAACTTGAACTCATAAATCTTGATGTTTATCTCAATAGTATCGCAGTTGTAACCCGCAATTTGTAAAAAAAATTTGATTATTTTCCGCTGATTTAAAACATTTTCTGTTAATATTGACTTTGATTTTGTGAGAAAGGCATTTAGCCAATAGGAACGCTTAGCGATTTTGATTGGTTGAAACTTTTCAAGCATTCGGTCCTTCAAGCATGAGAACCCGCCCCCTGGTTAGGGATAAATTATTGTTTATGAGTTAATGAGAGTCAAAATACGGTTCAGCGATTCAAAAAACAGGTCTTATGCACTAAACGGCCCGAAATCGTTATTTCTACATCTCTTGAACTGAAATTATTGTGGTTGAATTTGATTGGCTAATTAGCCAATCAAGTTCCATCGACATTTTCTGCCATTTCAAATGAAATAATTCTGCCGTTTCAATCAGATAAAATTATTAGCCGAATTATTAATTTGAATTTTTTGTCAAGCCATTTTATTAAATTTTCCTTGTCTGGGCAAGGTTTCACAAGTAACTCAAAATTAATTTGATCATATTACAAAATTCCATCTTTTCGGAAATTTTGGCTAATATTTTTATCTGCTGGAAAGGTTGATCGGAATGCCTGACCGTTTAACTTGAATTTGATTGGCTAAAATTACCCAATCAAATTCGATCGCATAATTTCCAGCTTACGATGAAGAAAATTTGATTTTGGGCCGTTTAGTGCATAAGACCCCAAAAAACAGCAGTTTTAAGGTTGCTTGTTTCTATATCGCAATTCGATCCTGTCAAAAACCAAAAACTTTTGGTTTTTTCCTGCCAGCCAGGTACCACACTTGCCATAGGTCTAGTTTGCGCGGATAATTTTTTTTGCTTCTAAACTTCTGAACAGCTGCTAATTTTTCTGCGTTAGCTTCTGTCAAATATTTCTTGGATTTGAAAATTTTTTTATAATTTGAAAGTTTTCCATCAGACTCTTTAGCGTCTAGTAACACATCCAAAAAAATTTTCAACTTATTCTTTAGCGTCTAGTAACATAAATGGCTTCAATTCAATTTGGAAAGTTATATGAGTTGGCTTAAGGCTAAAAAATACTCGATAATTAAATAAATTTCAGTGAGCATTATAAATAATCAGCGCAAGCAAAATTTGCTTTTTATGTTGTTTGTTATTTCACCAGCTCGATTTGTTGAGGTTTTAATTTTTGTTCAATTGTTTGTTTTTGTATTTTTTCGACTTAATAGGTTTTGGTTTATTTTATATCAACTTAGTGACCTATTTTTTGCGTCGTTTGCGGACCCAAATTTTTTAATTTTTTTTATTGTTCGTGTGTGTAGTCTGAGGAAGGTGGAAATAAAATTTTTTCATTAGTTTTTGTCTTTGACTTTTTGGCATGGGTTGCTGTTCAGATGTTTTCGGCTTTGGTAAGTTTTTCATCTGCTATTTTTCCAATCATTTGTCTGGACATTCAAAAAAAATCATCTTCCTCAAGTTTGATAGATCTAGTTGTATGTATAGTTATAAAATATCGGTATTAATTTTGTTGCTGATAGATTTCGGCTTTGTGGTTGTCAATTAAGCTCCCAATTTAGTTTACATATTGCGCATAGCACCTTGTATTCGGTACATATATGGTACTCGTAGATACTATTGGGCAATACATGTATTTTTTCCGATAAATTTTCATCGAACAGTTTTGGTTGATTTTCAGCATTTTGGCTGGCGGTTTTAATTCTTTCGATTACTGAATTTTTTTTCCTTCATGTTTCTGACAATATTTTGACAGATATTCAAGAATTTGGTCCTAATTTTTTGAATGCTCAAAATCAATTCTATTTGCAACTATTTAAAAACTTAAACTTTCAGTTTTCTTGTTTTTTTTTTCAACGATATTATGACTGGAAGGCATCTCAGATTGTTCTTGAAGTTCTTGCTGTTTTAATTTGATACTTTTTGTATCACAATTGGTGCAAAACTCAACTTCTCTGTGTTCAAAAAAAGTTCAATTTTGATTTTTTTATGTGGTACTTTTTTATTACAGATTTTCGAAAAACAGGTTTTTTATCGATCCAAACTTTTTTATCATAATTGAAAATTATTCTGTAATTTGTAAATTTACGAATTTGGATTTAGATTTACCTTACTTTTTTCGTTTTTTTTTCGGTTGAAAATTTTTGACATTTATTACATTGCTAATGTCATACATATCATATAACGTAGCTCGCAGGTCAAAGTAATTTTGAATGCTTTTTGTGTTTCGGAAAGGATTGATCGTGAAAATGGGTTTCGAATCGAAACTTAGCCTTGAAATTTTTTTGATAATTGTTTTGTTTTATCTTAACGAGGGTCGTGGACCCAAGTTGTTTCAACTGAAGTTTCGCAGCAAAAAAGGTTCTCAATGCTTTTTTAAGGCAGTTAAAATATTTGTAGAACCTCTAAATTTTTGTTGATATGGTTATTTTGACTTTTTCAAAAAAATAACCATAAATTTTTTTAAAAATGGATTTTTGTCTCTTTTTGTATTCAGTATTTTTTAATGCAATGTTATAATTGCATCGCAAGTGCTCTCTGTGTTAGGGTTTCAAATAGGAAATTTAAGTCTGCCAATCTGACGTTTAGTTCATGCTTGCTTCAGGTGCGTGCAATTGTCGACCCAATTCTGTGTCTGCCCGTTTCAAACACCGGATTGTACGTCGTCATGGATACCCTGGCTGGAAAAGAGGACAAATTTGAGCAGGTCAAGACCAAGTTCCCCACCACTTATCTCTCAGGATGTGCCTTCTGGATTCCCGCCCAAATCATCAACTTCAGGTTTTTCCCAGTGCATCTGCGGATGGTGTACGTCAGTACGACATGCTTTGTATGGAGCAATATGCTGTGCTACATCAAGAACACTGATTTGAAAGCAGGAACAAAGGCTAAAACTGAATAAATAGATTTTTTTTTTCATTTTGATAATTTATTTGTTACTGCCAGAATAAAATACTTTAAGTGGTCTGGGGGTCAAATCTCCGCCCCCTTCAAACTGCTACTGATTTATGTCTGGAAAGTAATGTTTTTCAACTTTTTTGAAAATTGGTTATCCGGGTTGACCGAAAATTTAATCCTATAACTTCCATTATAACAAATTTTTTATTCTACAGTTTTCTGCAAGTTAATACGTAGAAAAAAAACTTTTATAAAACGATAAGTACAAAAATTTGTATGAAAAATAATTGATAGACCTTTTCTACAAAAATTGTAAGAAAACGAATGATAGCCCGCTTGCATAATTCCGTTTTGAATTAATCTTATATTTTCGAACACACAACAACCAACTACTCTCTCAAACAGAAAAAAAAACAGAGGTTAAGTGGCAAAAATCACACATATAAACAGCATTTGGTGGTTCGCCATGCAAATAAAATTATCGCTTTTACACATCTGAACGCATGAAAATAAAAAGTTTCTAATTGTGGCAAAAACAATTCCTTTGTTTAAGAAATTAAAACTGGACTACGTTATAGACAAAAAACTTTATGTCCGAAAAAAAACTTCATGTATGAGTACAGAAGCGAAATTTGAACTAAAAAAAAATTATTTGAGAAAAAATGATCATTGGTTTTTTTTTCTCAATATTGCATGACACGCTTTCTTATCTAAAAAACAAAATGTATCCAAAAAATAAAAAAAAACAATTTCATAATAACAGAAAGCTCCGAAACGTGGAATAAGGAAAAACATGGCTGAAAAGTCTTTCAAACAGTTTAAAAAATTTGTCAGATAACTTTATCATAAAATTAATTTTTTTTATATTTATTGTATGTGTTTGCAGGACAATCAAACTTTTGTTTGGGGACGACAATCAGTGTGCATATTAACGTACAGTAAAGCCTCGCCTCGTACTGTATGATGATTGCTTAACATTAGCGGAAGTCCGCTTTTGTTAATCAACCTTTGTATAATACGCTGCTTTATTTTACGTTAATATGCCCACTGATTATCCTCCTCCCCACACAAGAATTTGATTATTCTATAGAATCATACATTGAATGAAACAAAAAATCTTATGATATAGTTACCCGCATCCAGTTTCAAGCGTTAATAATCGATTATATTACGATTTTAGTACCAGTCTTACTAAAATTGAGAAACAATCGATTTTAATCAATTAATAATCGATTACAATCTCTCTTTTTAAAATCAAATTATAATTGATTATAATCCATTATAATCGATTATAATCGATTATTTATTCGTCTATTTTTCGATACAATTATAATCTATTATAATTGATTATAATCCATTATTTTTATTGAAATATCTAGTTTTTAAGTTTTGCACAAAAATCCATTAAAATCGACTAATGTCAATTTTGTCTTCGAAGTTGCATCTAAATTGCTTATATTTTATGCTTTTTATAGACGTTGGTTTCTATGAAAATAAAGAATTTTTTTTGAGTTTTCCAATTAATTCAAATTTATAAGTTTTTTTTCATTTCTTCCAAGTTAGAGTTGTTTTGTGATGCATATTTTAAGCTTTTTTGAACACCAAAACATCAGCAAATTAATTTAGTTTCATGCAAGATTTTTTTTTCATTTACCGCGGGAACCTTTCCACTCATATGAAAGGATCTCTATGAAACTTTCGTTTCGTGGTAAAACTTTGCGTTCAGATGAACCAAAGTATTCAAGAGATTTCTCTTTTAGAGATTTTTTTTGACACACAAAAAGTAACCCATAAGATTTAATTCGAATATAGTTTTGAATTGACAAAATTCGGCAAAATAAGAGATTATAATCGATTATAATTGATTTCAAGGGTTTTTTGTAAGAACTATAATCAATTATAATCGATTATAAGAGATTATCCTCTTGGAAAATATCACGATTATAATCAAACATAAATCCTTTAAACACCTAATTTTGGTAATTATAATCAATTATAATTGTCAAAAAATCATCAAAATAATCAGTTATAATCGATTAATTACGCCTAAATTTGGACGCGGGTATCTTACAAACAAACGATTTTGATATATTCCAAGATATATCAAAAATTTTCTTGAGAGTATATCGGTCAACAATCACACCTGCTACGCCTGGATCAATAGAAAAATGCTCGTGAACGAAATTTTGATATTTTTTAAGACCGCTAGACAACTCGCGAAACTAAGGAATCGCGAAGTTTAACGTTTCGTAATTAGATGAACTATAAACGAAAATTTGCAGAAAAAATTTGCCATGCAAGGGGATTGAAGTGAGTTTCATCTCTGAAAAGCAAAAACACGTCCAACCGTTTTTTGACATGAAATTTCTCAAAATTGCAGTGAGAAAACAAATAAAACCAATTTTAAAGTGTTATTATCACTAAACTTACGTGTTAAAAAGTGTTACTATGTGAACATTGTTTCAAATCATTATGCTTACTATCTCTAAAGCAGCATTTTAATAATTTTATAGTTTTCGATATAAAGAAGGGAAGTTATTTTATGAGAACTTAAGAAAATATTTAAAAAATGTTATAATCAGAAAAAAAAGTTTTAAATTTGACGGGAAAACTCAATTTTAAACAGTTTTACAACTTGACAAACGATATCTTCCATCTCTGAGCACAAACTCATTAACCAATTGATTCAGATCAGTGATGACTACGAACTTGTATATGCACCAAATCAAAAAACCTATGCGGCGGTCAGTGTTTGATCTAAAACAGTCTAAACCAGGCTAAAGTTGAAGTACAGCTGGTCACAAATTATTTACTCAACAAATGCCTTGCATCAGAATTTGATTCAAATTATATGCTGTGTCAAGCTGGCACTCTTTTTCAAACAAATTTAAACTGAAGTTTTGAAAAACTTTGTTCGCTTTTATTTTTCAAGTTAGCTTGAATAACAAAATGCAATCGGAACAAAATAAGATTACAACTTTACCAAAAGTTTTCTTTCGCAATATGGTCGGCGAAACAAAGCCTAAATTGTATCCTTAAAATGTATTAATCAAAAAAGTTGCTTTGTTGTTCATACAATATTGAGAAGGTCACACCTTACTCATTTTTGATGGTCTATACAAAAGGTTCTTCTGATAAAGTTTGCTCACTTAATAAATCAGTCGTCTTAGCGTAATTTTTCTAAAAAAAACCAGAGAGACTCAATCCAAGGCCTGCAACTTTACTGGGACATTTTTAAAAACACTGACCTCTGCATTTTTGCTTCGAATTCTCTATTTCAAGATTTTTTTGGAAAAAAAAATTTCTTTGGTTTCTAGTCTGTGTTCTGCTCTCTGTTTTCTGGTTAATTATAGGGGCACTTAGCATAGTGGTAAGGCGTCCACATTAGAATCATCAGATCGTGTAATCGATCCCATGCCATGGCAATGATAGTGTGTGAGGACGAGCTCTCACTTGACCTCTAGCTTCAGGTCTACCACAACCTGACCAAATTTGGCTGCAAAAGTGGTACCAGGTGAAAGTTTTAGACGCACAAAAACGGCCTTGAGTCGAAAAAAAGAGCTTCGATCAACAAAATAACACAGTCTGGAATGTGGGGAAATAATACAAACGGACTATCCTCGACAGGACTGTTAAGGCCTACTGATAGCTCCTCTACAATTATTATTATTAATTGCAGATATTGCCTAAATTTTTGCTAAAAACTGAACTCTGATGTTTTCATGAAGTGCTACGATGCGTCATGCCTAATCAGAAAATTTTAGAGCAAAAATCTTTCACAAGTCAACGTAGAACTTAACGAAGTGCAGATTTCCAATAAAAAAGAGGAGTTTAAGGTTGATGAACGCTTTTTTTCCAATAATCACCACCAAACTAGTAAAATTGAATTTTGCTAACTTAATAAAAAAAGCAACACTGTTCAACAAAAATCTAAAATTAAAATTTTTTGAAGTTTTGTTTTTTCTAAATATTTTTTGACGCACACTCTCTTTTAAAACTAGCAAAATTTTGCTCTAATATTGCAATGAAAAAGCTTTTTAACGATTTTGATGAAAAATTGGCGCCCAAAATTTTAAAAAAGCATTGTTTTATAAGTGATTGCGTCAAAATTTTGCAGAGTGCTCATACACCTTTTTTTTTCCGCAAAGTTTATGATAAAAAAACTAGTTTGACCTATCAAGAATACAAATTGTTGTGGTCTCTTAGGATTTTTAGGAAACAAATAAAAAATACTATGATTGACATATGATAAAAAATGAATATCATTTTGGAGTATGCAACCAAAAAAATATAAGATAGGATTCAATTTTTATTATAATTTATGATGATTGAACAAACTCATCTAAAAATTTTTTCTTAACTTGAAATGAGAAGGATACAAAAAGTTTGTTAATAGTGTTTGTAGCAAATGAAATCGTTTATACACAAAATTTAAATTTTAAAAAAAATGTTACTTTTGTGTAAATTTCGAGTTATTGTTTCAATGAATCTATAAAATCATAAGCATCTGAACAACACGCTTGAAATAACTATCGCTTGTTTTTCTTTGCATATTGCAAAAAAACTTTAAATTAATAGAAAAATAGAACGAAAGTAAAAAAAAAACAGAAAAATCATTAATTCTTTAACACTCTGAGACTAACATTGATGTGAAAACACTTACAAAACGCCGGCACTAAAAAATTGAATTGCAAGAAAACTTTTTCCTGTCAATCGATCGATTGGGTCTAATCTATTAGAAGTCAATTAAAAATCACTATTTTTTGTTCTCAGTAAATTCTTTGCATCAATTTTTGTATTAAAACAAATAATGTTGATTTTTCACATTTTTTCAAAAAAAAAGATTCTAAAACCTATCCAAAACGCCCAGTTTTCACTAAAGTTTGTTCTTAAACTTCTGTTTTTACTTTTACGCGAAAGAACTTGAGTTCCTGGTTTAGTTTTTTGCTCCTAAAATTAAGTTCAAGAAATAAGTTTTAAAGTTGTGAAAGTAGAGAAAGTAATGGGCAATACTTTAGTTTTTTTTTGCCGTACGATTGGAGCTTTCTTGGGATATTTTTAATGCAAAGATGTGATGAAATCAGCCTTTTTTCTTGTAATTTGATATTCTCTGTTTTAGCTGGTTTGATTAAAACATACTGAATTGAATGTTAAAATGAGTTTTTTCTGTAAAAAAATTTGAAATTAATTCAACAAAAACTTGTTCAAAAACGTTATAGGGCAGTCGTTAGCTTGGTAGCTTTGCACTTATCAGCTGTTTTGTTTTTGCTTCTTTTTTATAACTACATAACCGGGTATGAGCCTAAGGTCCTATCTAAAAGATTTCATCTTAAATATTCGAAACATTTTGGAAAAATTCTCATCGATTTCCCATTGAAATCTTAGAGTCTATATTTTTTTCTCAAATTGTATTTTTTGCATCGGTGCTTGTAGCCCGTACCTCCTGTGCATGTTGCTTGTAGATGCTCTTGCAAAATACAGAAAGCACAAAAACTGGTGTAAGGTTTCAATTGTAATAAATTTTTGAAAGTTAAAGGCAATCAATTTTTAGCCCTATTACATTCAAAATTGAACGGAAAATATTTTAGACTGTTCTCTAAAAAAACTTTGAAATTCACAGAAAAGTTTTTTGGAAGAGATGTTTTTGTGCATAATTTCTGTGGCGTGAAATGTTGGCGCTAATTGCACAGCAACATGCTAGGCGTCTTCGAAAATGACATTAGAAGGGGTACCTAAAAATAAGCTGTATGGTAAGAGTAGTAACTGCTTGAAGTAAATTAATATTGAACCTTTCTTTTTGTTGATTTTACACAAATAAGTTTCAAATTTCCAACAATTGCTTGTGAATAAAAGAAAACTGATTCAAACGCTAAATTTATATCATTATTAAAACTACTAACATGTTTCAGAGCAAGACAAAAACCGTTAAATGGAATATTTGAATCAATTGACCCTCCCCTACCCCCCCCCCCCCCCAAGTGACCTAGCGTAGACTGTCCTTCCTGAGCATGTACTAAGTCTGAAAGTTAAGTCTCTACGAAAATTGAATTTCATACAGATGCGCGTAATGTAATTAATTTAAAGTTTGGATGTCATTTGTATTTTAATTGTCTACAAAATAGCGAAATCGAAGTTTTAATTATATTTCGATAGTAAATGCTGTTATGCAGGTGATATAACATTCTCTTCAAAATTATCTGGTGCAAAGTTTGTTGATCCTTATAATTGGTTTCAGTTTCAGGCTGGAGAATCTAAAAGAGTTTTTCAGGGTTTTATCCGCGCTAAATTCCATCATTTTCGTTAGTTGCTAGTCATTCTGTGAAGCACAAAAAACAACTTCACCCGCACTAGAAATTCAAGGATAAGATTATTATGGATTTTCATTGTCAGTGTATAAAAAAAGTTAAAAAAGTCAGAAAAAATCTATTTATTTTAATCTATGAAAAAGAGATTGCAATTCAAACTACATCCAATTTTAAAAACAGTCAAGGGATCTTGTTAACAATTCGCCCAACCCCCCCCCCCCATCTCCCTAGTTGCAACAGGGGGGAAACTCCTTACAAGGTACCAAATTCGTATATGCTTAACTGTTCAATGCTTTCTTTATAGGGTGGGGGGGGGGGGGTAATTCGTTTATTCGTTACAAGGTACCATAGGGGGAAATAGTTAACAAGATCCCAGTCAAGTCCGGATCTAGGATTTTTTCAAGTGGATTTTCAAAAAAATTTCAAAATTTTTGTTGACATTTTTTTAAGGTCGACCGAATTGATTTTCCAAACTCTTCATCTCCTAATTCCTTAAAAAGACCCTGTTTTGGACAATTTTTTTGCGCTGCGTTTTAAGGCACTTTTTGGACAGTTTTGACCGAAAATTGTTAATTTATAGCGGGCTAGCCCCTCAAAAGTAGTATATAATGGCGCCCAAGGCTACCTGAGAAAAATTTTAGGGTCCGCCAGCGAAAAATGGAGTTATTAAAATAGTACCAAAAGAGGGACCCTATGAGTAGTCAGGTGGTCGAAACCCTGAGATAGGGGCGTCAGCCCCTCCCCCTTAATTCGGTAATCAACACAGTGCAGTATACTCAAATCTTAACAGTTGCTTTTGGCTTAATACATGTTACATCAGATAAAACGAGATTCTCGTTTTTTCGTTTCTCATTTTTTGCTGATCTTTTTTTACTCTCACTGATCCAACTTACGTCCTTTACACTCTCTCTATCATATAAAACTCCCCCACGTGTCCCAACTTTACACCCCCTCGCAGCCCGTGTACATACCCCCTCACGTTTATTCACACCCCTCCCCCTTTACACTCCCTCCGCGACACCTCCTCGCTTAAATCCTCAGTTTATCGCTTCCCCACCATCCCCATGTTTACACCCAGCGCTGGCAACGCCTAGCTTACATCCACGCACCCCCTCCGCGTACACCCTACACCCACCCCAGCCCCCTTCCGTGTACAAACCGCTCCTCTGTACATTCCCCCGTGTACGCGATTCCCTTACAACCCCCTTTCGTTTAAAACCCCCTTGCCGCGCTTTAACCCCACAACCCTTTTTCCACATTTACGGGTTAATCGTTTCCCACTTTTGCTTAACCATAAAATTTAAAAAGTTTTCTTCTGTTTTTCTTTTTTTTATAGATAACCAAATTGAACCTCCGACATCGAATACCATATTGTTACTTGAAAATTTAATTTAAAAAGTTTAAAAATTAGCATGACTCCTAAATAAAAAAAAATTAAAAAACTGCGCATTCTTAGGTAGGTAATCGTTTTTTTTATGTACAGGGGCTGATCTAGGATTTTCTCGAGGGTGGGGGTGGGGGCTTATTATCAATTTTTTCTCAGGTCGACCAAATTGATTTTCCGAGCTCCCTCAAGACACTAAAAAGACACTGTTTGACCAAACTTTCTGAGCGCGCTTCCCCCTCAAAATTAGTAAATATAGGCGCCAAAGGCGCCTCTAAAAAATTTTTAGGGTCCGTCAGCCAAAAATGGATATCTCAAAATAGTACAAAGAGGTACCCTTTGGCTCGGCAGGGAGTCAAATCTCGGAGTAAAAAAGCGTCCGCCACCCCCGCTACCCCTACCTCTCTAAATCCGCCCCTGATTTTAAATTAGTTTTGTAACAACCATAGAATTATCTGAAAACAGTCCGATTAGAAGTCTATCCGAATTGGCAAAAAAACCATCATTTTCAATTAATTCACTCCTAGGAATTGCCGCGAGTCTGAGGGCAAACCCGAGTTTCATATGGTAACATGAATGTATTGATAACCGAATATGTTTTCCAAAATACCTGTTTTGTAATTTTTAGCTTCTAGCTAACTAACACACCTTTTCATCACAGGCCTTGGTTTAGAATTCAATCTTGGCGTGAAAAGTTTGAAATACTGTCGGTTTTTGGGAGGACTTCACTGAAATAAAGGTCAAAATAACGCAGATTCTCAGATCAGCTACCTTTCTTCTTTTTCTCTGAAATAATAAGTTAGCGACAAAAAAAAAAGTATTTAACCTAAATTCGGGGTCTGCCAATCTAATTTGAGTGCTTTCTGTGTTCATGTTTTGATAGTTTGGAATAATTAAGAATAAGGCCCAGTGGTAAAAAATAATTGACCAACGATTAAAACACTCCATGATTCCCTTCCTCGGCCCTGATGTGATGGATTCAAAAGTCTACATAAAAAATTCATAATTGAAATTATCATAAATTATTGCAAAAATGGAATAAAAATTGCACAATAATATAAGTAATGGTTTAATTAGCACTCTGAATTAGAACACTCGTGATTTGGCAAATTTGTGGATTGGTTTCTTCCGCCGAAGTTTTGCTGCAGGTTAAAATCATGCACTTCTGATTGTGTAAATGGGGCGTCAGTCAATTGGCCGAAAGTAGGTGGCAGCGATGGGGACTCAAATGAGCTTGATTGATTAGCGTTCGTCTGGTTCGTTTTTCGGCTAGTTGCTTGCATAGAATGAGGTGAGACCTAGAGGCATTGAATGAACTGTTCCAGACTTTAATCAACTCCACAAACTATTCCAGTTATAAATTTCCGAAGATTCTTCTTTTGATGGTAATATAAATGATAATTTGGAAATATAAGTCTTCGAAAATTCTTCAATTTTTGGTGGTATCATTATTGACCTCACAACGAGGAACCTTACATACAAAAAAACTACCTATAAATTTACCTAATTTACCTCAAGTGCATCCATTAGTCGATAAACATAACATGCTTGGTATGCTTCGATTAGCCTGTATTTTTAAGTCCTGAAACTTCCGTTGTCGAAAAATTAACAATGAGCGCGTCCGTGGTTTCCAGATGAGCTTGAGTGAGATTAAATGTCAGATTATCCTGTTACCTGGGTTGCTTTTGATTGTTGGTTGCTGTTCAAATGTGAGTCGCTGACATATAGTTTCTTGCGAGGCGAGATGCCGTGCGTGGTTGGGCTTCTAGGTGATTCGATGTGGCTGCTGACGTCATGATCTATCGTTATGGTAGGAGCTCGGTCTGAACAAAAAAGACACGGTAAAAGTTACTGAAATGTTTTTTTTCAAGTTTTCAAGAGAGTTTATTAATTTATATCTACATTTTTTTGTAACTATTGTTGATGTTTTCACTGCTCGGTGAAACAAACTGGTTCTGAATTGGTTTATTTGCGGAATGGAATCTTATCTTTTTCTCTTTTCAGATAGATATGTGATGTGTCGTCATGCACACAAAATCACCATGAATGTCATACTAACCTTCATATTAGAAGTTTGCACATATAATAAGTTTCATACAACTATAGAATTAAACTTATCTCCAATAATTCTCTATTCGTGGCTTTCCTTTTGATAATGACTGTTTTGATGTTAATTTTGTTTCATTATTTTTGATAAGTTATCGAGAAAATTTAATGTTTTTATAGTAATCCGTTATTTTCAAGATTTTTTTTCCAGTCGTATGTCAAATTTTTATCTGCAGACGGTTTTTAGTCATAAAAATAACATTTTGAGAACGGTGTTTTTAGCGCACAATACAACCAATTTCAGCTAACGTAATTTGGGCAAGTCTGATCTCGGGTCCACTTTGAACTTTGACCTTACAGACGCCGGGGTCAGTTGTTCCCAGTGAGATCTTCTCCTAGTGATTTCGGGTGACGAAAGGTGCTCGTCGGGAGTGATGTCATCGCCTTGGTTACTCTCCCCGCTTGGCCGCAACTGGAGAGTGACCGAGTGTTGACTGTCTTCCGAAACCTGTTTGGGTACTCGACTCCTCGGATGGGATCTCATGAAGTCCGGTGGGCTGACCTATCGTCAAAACAGTCAACCTCAGGGAATGTTAAAACTTTTCGCTTTATTTTTTAATGCACTTCTCTAGTTATTAATGTGCTTCTTCAAGTTTATTGTGGGTTTTTAACATTGGAATTTAATTCTGTCAGTTTTATAGCAGAACCGAAGACGCTTTTAATGTTAGCAAAGATTTAAAAGGATTTCCGTATGCACTGAGTGTAATTTGGAAAACACTTATGATTTGGAAAACATCTGTTAATCTACTAAGTTTTAAATTGCTGTCTATTTTTTTCTTTTTTTTTCAACATATTTCTTCTTTTTCTTACGGAGGAACGAAATTTCAATTATCTGTCAAAACTACCTCTAGATATATAGAGCTGCAAGAAGACCCTCCCTGCCGGTTTCCACAGTAATCCGAGGGATCCAGGAATCGAGATCCGGACGTTGAGGCTGCGGGCGCGTACAAGTTATCGTCTGTGTCAATAGATACCGAGAAGGGAGTGGTGGTCACGTGATCTCGGATGGAGGGAGTTGTGACGTCACAGGAGAGGCTCGGATTGTTGGTAGCGTATTGGTGTCGCTTTGATTTCCCGCTGAGAGCCATTGACAAGGACAGGTTGCCTAAAATATTTATTGCAGCTCAAATCTGAGGAGAAACGCCGAGGATACATCTGCTAATCAAGACATGCTATTTGAAGTGACGTTGAACTCAAATTGTTTTGTGCTCATTCTAATTAAATCTTTCGAACTCCCGAAGTAAAATTTTTTATTTGACCAGCTATCTTCCAAATCGTTACCTGACTCGGGTTTTCGACTGTCTGCTTTGTTAGGACCACTGCCCATTTTCTTTCTTCTGAGCCTTCGGCCGAGTGGGTGGAAAGAGGGCACTTCTAGACTGTCCATTCTCCGAACGGACACCGTGTTGGATCGGGATATACTATGTCTCTCGTATCTACATGGAATTGCGCCTCGCTTCGTGATTGGCTGATAATCTGAGCCAATTGCAGATCTCTCCAGGTTGGGGTTGGAGTCAAAACCAAATTGCGAGGGAGAGACACTGAACAAAACAGATCTAAATCAACCTTTTTTTTCAATTTTTTATATAAGGCTCTGTAGCCAATTTTTATCGGCGTCGTGAACAAGCTTTTACTCGTACGCGTATTTGGTTTGAGTCAAAAAAAACTATGATGATTAGTTCCGAGCTGTAAAAAATGATATTCCGGATATGGAGTTAAACTAAACTGTAATTTACGTTCATTAGTTAAATTTAAAAAAAACATAGGTAGTTTAAACATGGGCGGATCTAGGATTTTCTCGAGGGGGGGGGGCGGATTTTCAAAAACTTTTCCAAAATTTTGACGACCTTTTTTTATAGGTCGACCAAATTTATTTTTCGAGCTCTCCCAAAGCACTGTTTTGCCCCTATTTTGGCAAAATTTTTTGCGCCGCAGGCAAATTTTTGAAAAAACAATCAAAAAAGCCGTTTTTGGGCACTTTTTGAAAAATTTTGACAAAAAAATCGCGTTTTTTTTGGCGCGCGCTCCCTCTGAAAGTTAGTATATATTGGCGCCAAAGGCGCCTTTAGAAAAATTTTAGGGTCGGTCGGCCAAAAATGGATTTCTGAAAAAGTATCAAAGGGGGGACCCTTTGGGTCGGCAGGGGGTCGAATCCCTGAGGGAGGGAAGCGTCCCCCCCCCCCAAATCCGCCCCTGAGTTTAAATAAATTACAAAAAAAGTCAGCAACGTTTCTTCGAAATTGTACGGCAATAAGAAAATAAACTTTAGCTAGTTCTCGTCTGTTTTCAAATCACTCTGACCTGTGTCCGTTAATAGGATCATGCGTTGGTCCTTTCTCAGGCGACTCAGTAGTCACTACCCCATCCTCTCCAGAACCCCCTTCCACTCCTTCAGACCCCATTGAGGGTTCATCATCACTCACGTTTGCAGCCTCCTCCACCCTCTGTTGTCTCTTCAGTCCCATCAGGGTTCTCCTTTGATGTGTAGCCTGATGTACTAGCATTCCTGCGAGATAAAAAGTATAAACAGATCATACATTAGAGGCGGTTGAAAACGGGCTCAAAATTCTAGGGCGTTCTCGCATTCTGATTTCATTTTGATTGGGCATATTTTGAATTTTAGAGTGAATGCAATCTAAGTAGCAAACAATTTATAATTATTATTTTCATTAATAAAATTTTATTGAACAGTGATTAAAAAACAGACTCTTTTACAAATATGGCAATTCAGACCACAAATAACGAACAATTTTACTTCGAGATTTTTTCTTATGAAATTGTTTTCATAATTGTTCATTAATAAAAACTGCTATTTGCTGCAATCATGTACTCGTCCGATTAGATAGAACTGGGATGACTTAAAATAAAAATAAGTTTAATGGTAAGTTTAAATTTATATATCTTGATAATTAGAAACAAAACGTTCTCAAACCTGGTCTGTGAACATGCGGCGAAGTGTTCGATCTTTCCAACATGGGTGGGGCTCCTCGGCTGGATGTCGACTTGGTAGTGGGGTAAATTAGAGGGGAGTATGGCAAATTGTCGTTTTCAGAGATGTCACTTTCAATGTCGTCTTTAGTTTCCTGAAACAGTTTTTCAGGTGAAGAAGTAAACATTTGAATCAGGCCAGGCAAAGCTTCACAGTAATTCATCACAGGATCATCACAGTAATTCTGAATTTATTGAATTTTTCGTAATCAAACAAAAAGACATGAGGTAAACGCAACAAAGAAGCATGACCGTAGAAAAATCTACCATCAAATAATTCCATTCATCGAAAAACTAGCGTTACAACAGCCGAGAAAAAATCATCAGAAAAAATCACGAATCCAGTAAAGGTTGCAGCGGCATCTGACCTCTAGAGATGGGAGACTGAACTCGTGAGCTATGATTGAACTGTTTCTGGAGTTCAGCCCTGGTGACCTCAGTGGCCTCCCAGTTGCAGAGGGAGTCTCGTCCTCTCGTCCAGCTGAAATATATAAAAAATATTTCACAAGAATTTAGAAAAACAAAGTGATTAACGGGCCACAAATGATCCATGTAATGCTATGCACATTCATTTCTGCTGATGAAATTCATTTTGGGATGGATTATCATTGAAGCATAAGAATACCTGGTGGGTTTGCTTCGTTCACTCGACACTCGAGTGTTTGTGTACCCTTGTCTTCGCTCTCGCCCCTGGAGAGAACGACTACTGAGTAGTTGCTCCCTCGAGCGGACACTGAAGAGAACACACTGCCTTGGTCCGATTCGCGGTCTAAAAATTACTGACACTTCAAAAAAAAATTTGCCCCACGTTCGTAATTACAAAGTTTCATTTTCTTAGACTCACAGCACTTGTAACTTTTTTTTCAAATTTTACAGCTCAATTTACGTTTTTTTGATTGTTATCTTCGAATCAAAATCAAAATCTGAAATTTTCGAGACTGCTTGTTTTTTTAAATTAAAATGACCAACTAATTCCAGGGCGGTTATGGCATAAATAATTGAGTTATGTCAAAAGAACGGTTGTGAATAATTACCCGCTACTAATAGACGAAATTAGAGTTGGTATATTGATGGTAAGCTGGACGAAAAAACTGAGGACACTGTAATCTCTATAGTGGACAAACAAGAGTTGTGACACTGCAATTATTGAACCGAATGAACAAAGGGTGAATATATTTTTAATGTACGCGTGTCATCATGTGTTCACGCGTGGAGTCACGTAGTATTCATGACGGGTGGGGTGGGTTGGTAAGTCGGCACTAAGTTTATTTGAAACTATCACGTGTCAGATCAACTTTTTCTGCAACATAAAGTAAAATTAAACCTTCAGATGTGGATTAGCTTTGACTCATGTATCTAGTCTTTTATAAGCCTTTTTTGTTGGTTAATCAAGCTCTATCAAAACAGTACAAACACCTTATTTTGCCAAAAATTTCTGCAAATGACTTTTTCAGCACTTTTTGGAGGGTTGTTATTAAAAAGAAAGCTGCCCACCAATTATATTATTTTGACACCGATGTTGGGGGGGGGGACTATTTGGGTCGTCGAGGAGTGGAATCCCTGAGGAGAGGAGAGGTTTTGTATCCGCTACTAGATCATAAGCATTTGTCTCTGATTTTAAACGACTATGATTTTCAACTAAAACTCATTATGGTGACCTTCATTAGGTTAATTAACTTACGAACAATATCTAAAAAAGACAAATTGATCCTATGAACACAATATTAATGCGAACAGATTGATGATAAACACACTACTGATGAATCTCAGTTTTTCAAACTTGCAACTGGAGATTTATAAAAACAATTTCAAGGTCAGAACAAAGAAATAAACGCCCAACTTGAAAAAAAAAGAAGAAAAAAATAGATTGATAACTACCTGAGTCGCGATTTCGCGAGTTGATAGGCATTGAATTCATCCTAGACAATTTAGCCCCTCCGTTCTCATTTGAACCCCTTCTTTTAAATGAAGAAGGCTCATCATCAGTTGACACCTGTGCATCTACCACGTGCACACTTATTGGGCAAGCCGAGTCGCTATTGAATCTCTTCGTGTCAGCTACGTGCCCAGCCCCATTTTCACCGGCGGCGCGACCCGCTGAACTCGTTGACATCACCGGTCGGCCTTCGATCATAGGTTTCACAATTGAAATTGGTCTCGTTTCGTTTGGTCGTGGATTGGCTGCCAGTGGCACAGGCGATGTTCGTCTGTTTGTCTGGCCTTCGCAATTGGTGGCGATCAGCGCTGTTGTGACCCCGGCGATATCATGGGGGTTGGCCTGAAGGTTATTTATGTCTCCCTGCTTTGCATTTTTCCCTTGTCGCTTCTAAAAACACAAGTCTTTTGTCTTCCGACTATATTCAAAAAAATTGGACATAAATTATGGCGTATTATGGCGTATGTTAATTTTGTTTTCGGCTAACTGGGGCAACTTCAAAGAAGTCTCATAGGCGGTAAACTGATATATCATAATAAAACGATTTCAGTCGTGATTTGGATAAACCGATACAAAAATGGGATTCAATAGAAAATCGGATAACGACAACGACTGATTTGAGTTTTACGACGCCAAGTCCAGAGACATTACGACGCCAAGTCCATTATCGTGATACCACGTCTTCAATTTCCACTACAAATAATTTAAGTATTTTAAAGGAACTTGTCTAAGGAATCCAACAGCAAGCGAAGCCTATAAATGCAGACAAGTTTTTTATTTTCCGTTAAATCAAATGAAGAGCGATACATCATTGCCAAAATTAGAAAATATCTATGGAAATTGCTACTAAACTTCACAAGGTTTGGTGTGCTAACGATCTGAAAACTCAGGATTTCTGTATCATCGATGAGCAGTTTTTAACTTTAAAAGATTTGAATGGTTGATTAACATATTGTGGACTGTAATCTGAGGTATTATGATTCATTTAGAAAAAAATGTTCCTCTTTTCGTGAAAAATTGTTAAAAAATAATTTTCTGTCTATTAAATTTTTCAGTGATAAGCGTGGTGGCAACAAACTGGGATTTTTGTGCAAAAACCGGCTGCTCTTACAGGGGACGGATCCGGGAGTTTCTCGAGGGGGGGGGGGGATTTTCAAAAAAAAATTGAAAATTTTGCCGACCTTTACTTTTAGGTCGACCAATTTGATTTTCTGAGCTCTGCCAGATCCCTATAAAGACCCTATTTAGACCAAATTTTCTGCGCCACAGTCGAAATTTTGAAAAAAAAATAGGCCAAAAAAGGCGTTTTGAGGCACGTTTTGCAAAACTTTGACAAAAAAGTTGCGTTTTTTGGCGCGCGCTCCCCCTCAAAAATAGCATTTATTGGCGCCAAAGGCGCCTTTAGAAAAGTTTTAGGGTCGGTCGGTCAAAAATGGATTTCTTAAAAAGTACTAAAGTACCTTTGGGTCGAAAAGGGGTCGAATTCTTGAGAAAAGGAACGTCCACCAAACCCCCTGCCCCCGTTCCTAAATTCCCCTTTCCTAAATTATCAAACTGATCAAACTTGAGCCAGTTGATAAAACGAGAGATGCACGGATGCGTTTAATTGAAATGATGAAAATCGATAACCCGGAATTGACATGTTATCAATTTGAGCATTATCAATAAAAAAGAATGTTTTCTCCGATTTTGTGAACTACCCTGTTTTTTACGTGATCTATTTTTACAAAACGACTTACTTGTTATCTACCAATTATGATGTTTTTGTACGCAATTTTTTAATTTTACTGAGCTTTTCTCAATTTCGTCTATTTCATTTTTAATGCGGCTTTGTTATATTCAATTGTATAAGAGATACTAATGAAGACAACAAGAGAAATCAGCATTAAAACGCACTAAAATTATTTTACATATCTTTAGTTGTAGCTAGAATTAAGAAAAAAAAACAGTAAAGAATAATACTTTAAAACGTATTGAAAAAGAAAACCTTCCAAAAGGTTTCTAATAAATTGCTTAGGCCTTTATTTGAATGTTTGAAGGTTTTATTCCCAAAACGGCCCTTATTCAATCTGCAAAAGTTGAACTTAAATTTAAAGGGTTATTCTTCTTATCTTTTAGTCACTCAAAAATTTATCGAAATTTTTAAAGCAGTTTTTTTTCGATACGGACAGTTTTTTAAATCTTAAATTTTTGTTCGAATCAGGGCTGGGAGGGCTTTAATATGATTTATCACTCTTACCAACCCGTTGATTATTTGTGTTAGCCGCTTTTGGTTGGAAAACAAACTAAGCCTGCTGGCGCTCACTTTATTCGCTCGCAATTAGACCGAAAATCAAAAATTTCAAATTGGTTTTTCTCGACACTGAGATACGTTTGGATATTTTTTGAATGTAGCTCGAATCATGGCTAAAAACTTTTCAGTATGATCTATCAGTCGACCCATTCCAAATATGAATTGTGTTACCTGATTTTGGTTAGAAAGCCAAAACAAAGAAAAAACTAAAACACCTGAATACAAAGTTGATCCAGATTTTCAATGATCGGAACAAAAAGGGAGAAAAGGAAATCAAAGGAGCCACCACTGGAATTAGTGAAAATTTATGGGGACACTATTACCAGGTATGGCTGAGCAGTGGTCACTGCAGAGTCATTCCTTGCAATGGCTTAACTCAAGGCTGCTATCAGCTCTTGATGCGTTTCGATTTTTCATTTTTTCTTTTGATTCGTTATCATCTTTTCTTACACTAAACAGCCGGCTAATTACCCCGGCCACGAAGGCCAATAATTTACACTAGCATATATTGAGTTATGATTCTATTTTTTGCACAAAAACGCGCATAGAGTAATTTTATGTTATTGAGGAAAAAAATGACCGGTTTGAATTAGATAAGAAACAAAACTAATCACAAGTTTTTTTTTGAAGTCAGAACAGTCCTTTTAAAATATCTTTTCTTTAAGCCAATGAAGTAAATTCATAGCTCATTGTCGCCTAATATAAAAAAGACAACTGGCTACTGCGCCTACAAATTAAAAAAATTGAAATTTAGTGTCGTTTTTTCTGCGTGGTGCAATAAACAGATCTGAGTGAAAATTGGAAATTAAGATTATTTGAGATACATAATAAAGTAGGCAAACTGGACGAAAATTTTTGAAGAGAAACGACAAAAAAAGCAAAACAAAATCATTGAAAAGGTAAAAAAAATCAAAAAAAAATTTTTTCAAAATAAACTTGCAGAAATTTGTTGATTTTTTGAAGTTTTCATTCCCAAAATGGCGCTAAAAAAATCTCCAAAAGCTAACTTTAATCAAATAAAAATGTATTTTATCAGCTTGAAATAAGCACAAGTAAGCTATTGTATTTTCCTTGCATAAATAAATCTGCTCACTAGTTTTTATCCCTCAAAGTTAGACGAAAAATCAAAAATGTCAAACTGGTTTTTCCTGTCACTGAAAAAGTTTTTTTTGAAAGTTTTTAATGCCATTCTAATCATGACTAAAGAGCTTTTTTTATGATATATCACTTAACCCAGTCCCATGATTATTTATGGTACCTAATTTTGTGTTGAAAAAAAATTTAAAAGACACCCGAATAATGGTTCGAACAATATCTCGCCTAAGATTTTAGCTCACGTATCAATTAGCATGTGGCAATTATACAATGCAGCTTTTAAAATCAAGGGTAGAATTTATATAAATCAAGCAGAAAACTTTCCAATTGCGTAAGCTATGTATCAAGTAAGGCTAATACCCCCCACCCTGTGATTGTATTCTAATATTGTGTTCAGTAGCGGATTGGGGCGGGGGCGGACACCACCCCTCAGGGATATGACCCCTTGCCGACCCAAAGGGTCCTCCTTTGTACTATTTTGAGATATTATTTTTTTGGCTGACTGACCTTAAAATTTTTCTAAAGACGCCTTCAGCACCAATCTATACTTAATTTGAGTGGCGAGCGTGCGCCAAAAAACGCAATTTTTTGGTCGAAATTTTCCAAAAAATGCCTAAAAACGCTATTTTTGGCCTGTTTTTCAAAATTTTGCTTGCGGCGCAAAATTTTTGGCTAAAGCAGGGTCCTTATAGTGATTTGGTAGAGCTCAAAAAATCAGTTTGGTCGACCTAAAACAAGGTCGACAAAATTTTTATTTTTTTTTTATTTGAAAATCCGCCCCCCCCCCCGCTCGAAAAACTCCTAGATCCGCTCCTGATTGTGTTACACATTTCTTATTGATAAGCATTAGTTTTTTCTACCAATTTAAACCAATTTTTCTAGAGTTTTTCGACGGAATTTTTGTATGGAAAACCTCTGTATGCAAAATTAGAATACTTTGTTTATAGTGTCTTCCACTTGCTCAAAAATTCAAAAACGGAAACCTAACCTTTAGTTTCAGATCGGTACTGGATACTTCCTCTTGTCAAAATTAACGCCTGATTTTTGACAAGCAATGGAACAACTACAGCAGAATTTTTCAGGGCCAATTCTAAGAAGTTTAAGAAGTTGAGTGATTCCTTGATGATGTAAAATAGTTTTTGATTCATTATAGTGATCTCATATTCTCAAAGTGATGTTTTTCTATAAGAATTTATTTGTCGTTCTAACCGATGAGTTCATTTACTCAAGAATTCTGGGATTGGAAACATGCACAAAGCTATTAAATTTATATTTATGAACCAAAAATTTGAAAATTTGCAATTTTGTGGCTTATCGAAAACTGCAAGGCAGTATAACAGTCTCGAAATGCAATTGAGCCGAAAAAAAACAATGTTCTTAACGCTGAAAGCTGATTATATTGTTTGTAATTATACTAAAACTTTGATAAGTAGTTTAAACCGAAATGGAGCAAAATAGCAGAGCAAAATTGCCAATTTTAAAAGATATTGTATGCGTTAATGAAAAAACAAACTTGTCCGAGCGCTGCGACAAAAATTTTTCTGAACGAACAATTATTTCGGCAGCCATCTAATTTTTCTCGGTATTACCTCAAATTAGTTTTCACACAAAATTGACAAATTTTCTTTAACGGAATTCCTTTATTTCAAATATCATCATCTTTAAGCACTGTTGATCTTCGGAACCGTTAAAAGGCTTCTAAAATTATAGACATACAATTACATATCATAAAAATTTCTAGTCAAACAGTTCTTGTTAAAAAAAATACTAGTCATAGAATTTTTATACACTTTTGCACATGTCAATCAACTATGGGATATTGTAGGAGATTTGTATGACCAGTATTTTTGTCAACCAGATTGAACAAGGATTATGTTGCTCCTCATTAAAATTTTTTACTGCAAAAAGAAAAACAAAAAAGACGCTTATAAAGTGCATGGTCTTTTTCTCCGATTACTTCCAGCACAAAGTTTGTGTGGAAAAGGAGAGCTCATTTGGCCAGAATATAAAATTAATACTTAACATGCAAAAATTTCAACATTAAAAAAAAGCAAGAAATTAGTTTGTAGAAATGAATCGCTGCGAGTAAAGCAAGCGTTCATGTTTTCATTTAAACGATCATATCTACTAGACCAGACTGCTCGTGTCAGCCGAATGTTCCGACTGACTATTAATTGGTCTCGACTTGTTTTTGGGAAATAAATAACTGAAAAACTACAAATTTTAGACTGATAACATCAGTGTTAAATTTTGAATCGTTTATCGAACTAACAAGATCAATTAGCTCGCCTAAATTCTATTTGGAACAAAAATGAGTGCGGATAATTTGCAACGCACAAATCATTCGCATAAGGAAACAAAACTCAAAGTTTTATTCCAGCAGCAAAGCCCCACCTAAGTCAAGTGCAAGCATACGCGCTTGGCAATCCTAAGATTTCCAAAACTGTGTGTACGTCTATCTCGTGCACAGTTTCGCCTGGTACTAAAACTCGAGGTAAGACCCTATATAATTGATTATATAAAAAACTGATATTAAATGGCGGGAAGTTAATCAAAACCGTTTCATTATAATGCTCCATCATCACGTTTTAATCATTTGTTTTCCATAATACATGAGCTGCGAGCAGAGTGTCGGAACAGCATTTCTCTACAAAGCATTTTATTTGTTTAAATTGTTTGTATTCGTTGATTCATTGGATCACTCAAAGAGATGCAGGAATACAAAAAAGAGTACATCGAAATTTCACAATTCACAATCAAGCTTAAAAAAATGTGATTATGAAGTTTTTTAAACTTAAGGTTAAATCTTAGCCAAAGTTTCTAAAACTGAGAATTAGGTTTTCAGCTATAATGACATTAGCGACATCATCATCACTATTACCACATCGAAAGCAACAACATCATCGCTTTCACTATTACAGTTTTTTATTCTACTAGCGTCACCAACACCATCGCTATCATTGTTGCGTTCAAAGATCGAACTGTATGTTTATATGGCTCGAAAAATTGCGTGTGCATGACTGTAGTTTCCTAAAACAACAAGACCGCTCGTATCAGGTCGAAGCATTGAATCTTACGACTGCCCGATAATTGGTCTCGAATCAGTTTTGGTATTAAAAAATTGACAAACTACAAATTTTAGGCTTCGTTTATGGATAAGACCAATTAGCTTCCTTCAATTCACTATGTAACGATTATGAGTGCGGATAGATTATCACGCATAAATAACTCGCATATTGAAAGAAATCATCAAATTTTTATTCCAACAGCAAAGCCGCACTTTAGTCAAATGCAAGCATATTCGCTCGGCAGTTACAAGATTTCCGGATTGATGCCCATACGCGGTCAACTTTTCCCAAATTGGTCCGAATTAAAAAACCACCCAGGGCATTTTTATTCCTCACTTTCTTCGAAAGTCGGGACAAAAAGCCTATAAGCATGTTGAAATTTGGAAGTGAAAAGCTTTAACCAAAATGTTGCAGAATTCAGGAACAAATTTCTTAAATTGAAATTTTGTCGGCACGGGAATTGTGTTGCGGATTTCACGACGAAGTTTATTTTTGATTTTTTTTTATGAAAAAAATTTTCAGTTTATTTTTTGATTTTTTTTTGGAAAATCATCCTCCTACACACTATGTAAACCAAAGAGCATGTCTCAATCATATTAGGAACGATTTCTAATACGAATTAAGTCTCCGCTTATTCGTTAAAAGCACAAAATTTATCGCTCGTTAATTGTCCCAAATGGCAATCTTCACACCCCCATAACTTTACAAAAAATGATCACAAGTAATTTTTTTTGAGTTTGGGCTCAAGATGACAAAACTTTTCGAATGATATAGAAAAAATTTGTGAAAAATTGCTTGTTAAAAAGTCGAAATTCGTCCGGAGAAAAACCACCCCGAGCACAAATATTTCGTTACTTTCTTCGCAAGTCAAAGTTTTAGTCGGCATTTAGTCACCAGAGCTGCACCTTGTCCTGCAATGCATTTAAAATAAATTTTTGGGACGAGAAAACTTTGAAAAACTATAAATTTTGGACAATATCAAAACTCAAGTGTAAAATTTTGAGTCATACGAAATTAGACCAAGTAGCTAGCCTCAATTCAAACTAGATCGACTTTGTTGAGGGGTATAATTCGCCTCGCATAATTAATTTGCGTTAATTTTTCATTCTTATGGATAAAATGTTTAAAACACGCATAAATTATTCAAAAGCATGGTTAAATTGGCAGTTTTCAAAGTCCCAAAACTTCGCAAAAAATGATTGGAGATATGATAACCTTTTTTACATGAATTCAATATCTTCAATGGGTATAAATTTTTTTTGTTAAAAACTATTATTTTGATCGCCAAAAATTGAGTGAATAAAAAACACCAAGCATTAAAATATTGGAACAACTATTGTCTAGATGCGGATTCCATGACAAAGCCTTGTCCAGTTTTATCGGCGTAATCCGCAAACAGTTCGAAAATACGCAGCTTAGCATCGTAATATATGACCACATCAGCACTGAACTGAAGCAGGGAAATCTATAGCCGTGCAATTAGTAGAGAAACTTCCGACCTCATTATTAAGTGCAAAACATATGATAAACCTAAAATAGTTGCTCGAAAAATTGTTCAAAAAATTGTTCGAGCAGATCTAGGAAATTTTCTCAAATTCTTTGATAAAAAAGTCAGATTTACATCTCAGGGTCTAGTTGTGAGCATTTAAACTTAAATTGAAATTTAATAAACTAATAAACCAGCTACTGACATGGTGTCGTAATTTGTAAAAAGTTAAAAATCAATTATTTTTTTACACTCAGATCAGGCCAAATCGAAAGGGCTTTAATCGATTTTGACTGGAGCTCCTAATGGACCTGAAATTGCTTTTACTTGCGCACCTGGTTTTGAGGGAAATTTAAAGCCACTTCCGCAGACAAAGTTTATTCATTGAACAAAAAGAATTCATTATACTGAAAGTTTCAAAAGAGATAAAGTGCTTCAATTGAATCTTGAGAGTCACTTACATGACACATCTCTGTCTGATTTGTAGAGACAGTTTTGTTCACCTGTCTACCAATCTCTCCCCCCCCCCCTCAATTCTTCACTTACCAGTCTCCTCTGTTCCTTCTTCTGTTCCCTCTCCCTCTCCTTCCTCTCCAACTTCTCCATGTATTCGAACAGCAACTCCTTGTCCACATTCTCCTCCCGCTGCTTGTGCGACTCCTGAGGAAAAACACAATCATTGCCAGCTTTCTATCAAGAACTTTTCTTGGATAAATTAAGCAGCTCCAGCTTCTAGAGAAAGTAAAGAGTTATATCGAAGTTTTTCGAAATGCTATGATGTTAAATCAAATAGTGTGGAGTTTTTTGAATAATTCCGACGAAAAAAAATTCACTAGTTATTTCAAAACTGGATCTCAGCTATGCAAGTTTATTAGTGTATTTGAAACGCCAAAGCAATTGCCGATTAAGAGAGCTATCATTTTTTGATAATCAGTTCGCTACACGCTAAAATGACATCAGATTTTGTGCAAAAGATTGTAAAGCTGCAAGAGAAAACCTTCATAGATACTTTAAGTTTGAAACTTTAAAATTGAATCTTAAATTTTGCGAAGATCTTGCAAAATTCTGAACCAAAATTTTACCTAGTTCTTCATGCCTTTTTAATTTGGACCAGACAACGTCAAGTCGCGCCTCAATTTGCACATAAAATGAGTAAAATAGCATGCTACGTGTATTTAGAGTTGAAAAAAGAAAAAAAAACTATATACCAGACATCGAATCAACCGTGATAAAGAAAAATAAATTATAATGGTTGTTTAAGTTGTACTAAGTTTTATCAAACAATATAAGGAAAAAATCATGAGTGCTGATTTTTAAGCACTTGACATTTGGCTGCGTACAGTAATCATTCTATTGCACTTGGACGTAACATAAAACCATTTTAACTGCTGCTACCAATCAAGATAGACGGTACCTTATTGATACCATACATGGTAACTAAATGTACTTGACCTCCAAGTTCATGGTTCTGTCCTTCGGGTTAAGAAGTGACTCAGGGGCGTCCTGAAAGTCATAGTGAATTTTACAAAAAAAAATTAAAACAATCACGTATCACTAAATTGGAATAATCTGCTTAGCTGTAAATAATTTGAAACACGAATGGAAATCAATTGGATCCAACTAGCTATGAATCATTTTTTAAACAGCCTACAAGCCACATTGAATTCGGCCGATGCTCAAATAATTAGTTTGACCACGATTATATTAAGCTAGCCTTTATAATTCCGGCCGTCAAAAAATGGGTGTCAGGAAAAAGCAACAAAGGGATCAGTTTTTGCGAGGCGGGGTAGTAGTCGATTATTGCGGCAAAGTACACCCTCTCCCTTAACTCACCCCTATGTTTATGACTATACGTCAAAATCAAAAAAAACTAGACTTGAAATGAAGAAAAACTTTGTTTGTTAAATAACCAATTAGTCGCGATGCGTCGCAACATTTCATGACATAAGTTGATTTGAAAAAAAAACAGCAATTGTTTTTTTCCAATAAAAGGGTTTCCAATTTTTTTTGTGTAAAATTCAAAGAGAAAACTTCAAATTCCACTATATGGCGACTAGGAATAGTTTTTGCGAGATGATTGAAAACAAAATCGATTTTAATCGATTTTAAAGTTTTTGTTTTTTTTTTGGTATTTGAGATTGGAAAATTGTTCAATACTTTAGTATTTGGATTGAGAAAACGTTAAATTTTTTAGTATTTGAGATCGGAAAAAAATTCATTTTTTCAGTATTTGAGATCGGAAATATGTTGATATTTTCAGCATTTCAGATCGGAAAGCTGTTTTTTTTCTCTATTTGAGATCCGATAGTGTTCAATCTTTCACCATTTGAGATTTAGCTGTTGGCAGTAAATGAGATTGAATTACTGGACAGCTTCGCTGATGCATGAGCCACAAAAATAGATTTAAGTAGAAAGTTTAATTTCAAAACCTTTCTATATATGTCAGTGGAATCCACAAACCAAATGCGGATTCCGCTTAAAAAATCCGGACTCCGCTTACAAGTGCGGGTTCCGCAACAGCTCAACTTTAGTATACTTGTTTTATAATTTTTGTTTGTGGACTCCAGAAACTGTTCAGGGTTCCGCACAAACTGTTCCGGGTTCCGCAAATTCGGACTATTGCAGAATCCTGTTACAATTTACAAAATGCACAGTTCGGCTTGTTATGTTTTATATCTATAGTTAACGAGAAGTTCTTTTTCATTCACTTGGGAGTCGGAACAGTCAGGGCGGCTTATGCTTTTACGCTTTCACCGGACGAATTATATCGCGCGTTAGTTATCCCAATGTGAAATATAGTAGTCCAGGTAGTATCAAATTCAATCCGATATAACTTTAGAACAAACTTTGACAGGTATTTGTTTTAGTTCTGAGCTTTGTAAATTAATACCTTTCATAGATGTTAAAAACAAACGAAAGTTTTCTGGTGAAAAAACACAGATCCGAGCATAATCATTCCGTCACTTTTTTCAAAATTTGGCATTAAAACGGTGTCGTGTCGTGATGATCAGAGTCGCAGAGATAACAGCACTAGTGCTTGCCGATGCAGATTGAGCAAGAGTCCAGTGATTGTCCATTGCTAATTCGTCGATAAAACAATTGCTACTTTTTACCCGCGCTGATAGAGAGTTAGTTCAGGGTTGATAACGTGACAATGAACAATTGCTACATGTCATGCCTAAATTTTCGGATTATGTAGATATCTTCTGTCTAGAAAACCCGGAGTACACGTTTAATGAGACTTCGCCTTCCTCGCAAAATTTAAGTAAATCCGCAGGTGATTTCAAGGTTTCAATAGGCGATTTTTTTAGGCGACAACCATATTCGCGTTTTACCAATTCCAATAATTACAAATTGGAAATCTGTTTTTCTTAAATGCTTGAGAAAAAATATTCAATTTTAACGCATCTTGTACAAACTAGTTTCAACAAATAGAGAATTTTTATAGGATTTCCGGAGTTGAAGTCGAAGCTAAAAAAAGCGCAGATCCACTGAAAATTAGTTCCCCCTTTCTAGGAGGGGCGAGGGGAGCATAGTTGGATAGCTTTAAAGTGAAAGCCATGATTTCAAAACAGTCTTTTGTAATCGTGAGTGTGCATTCACACGTGAAGCATTAGCGCGTTAATTTCGTGAAAGCGAATATGATCAAAATTATTGCTGAAAACCGACTGCCAAACAATCCTAAGCAGTGTCAAGTGTTCAGCTGAGGAATTACGACCCTTGGTAACAATAGCTATTTGTCTCGTAACTCAAGTGCCATGTTACGTAACCTCTGATTCCATTTTGAAGCTGCAAGAAGACGACTCATCGTAAAGCGAGTCGCTATAGTTGTCATTAAGAGCCTGTTTTTGACTGAGGACATCCTGAAATAGTAAACTTTTCAGCATTTTAGCCCTGAAGGAAATAAAAAAAATTGAAATCCCTCGACTTCAGTGCGGGGCGCACAGAATTGACGCAATTTGAGAAGAAATACATGCTCATTCGGTTAATTTCTAGATTGCGTTTGGGTAATGTTGCCTCGCCTTTTCAAGCAAAACTTTTGGATCTAAGGAGACTCGAAGCTAGAAAAGTTGCCTTCTTAAGCCGCAGCGAAGTGATATAACAATGACTGGAAATACTCCTATAACTATTTGGCGCCGTGTTAAAATTTTTTCTTTGGTTTAGACAACTTTCTCTATCGATGAAGGGTAATGAAATCAATAACCAAAGGTTTCATGCTTGGACTAAATTGTTTTCAACAAATCAAAGATTTCTAGATCTGGATTGGTAATCTTGTCCGTCTCAATTTACTCCACGTGTAGACTTAAAATTACGCTTTCAGTGAATTTAACATTTGCAGGTTCTTCGCTGACGTGAACAAACCTCAAAGTGGAACGAGTGCGCCTCCTGTAAAAATGAAGATTCGAATGTAGACGGGTAGAGCGATTATTAGAGTTTGAAGCAAAAAGAAGATTGAATTTTTCAATCAAAACGAACTAAACTCTTGCAAAATTCAAAAATAAAAAGTCTAATTTCTTTGCAATCAAAAAAGAGAAAAAATTATGTAGCCCATGGGTTCTCAATATGGGTGTTGGCAAAAAAACTTACAAAACAAATAATTACCCTTTTTGCCACAAGCACTTCATCCAATTTTATTATTTATTAAGGGGTATTCACTTTTGGTTTAACTAGTCAGTAGGCTCTTACCATCAAAATGGCCAAAAACATTTTCCTGAGCCATCGAAAATGTTGGCTAGTTCTGGGCCAGGGCAATCAATCAAATTCAAAATTTAAAAGCTTTTGCTCGATGATCTAAGATGACAGCAACTTTGAACTACAAACCTTCATTAAAAGGAACTTTAACATCGGAGGGCACGCATCAATTACCAAGCTAAAC